TACTACTAATAATAATAATAATAATAATAATAATAATAATAATAATAATAATAATATAACAACAACAACAACAATAAAAGGAACAGAAAGGAATCAGCCTGCTCAGTTGGGGTCGACTGAACTATTAATTTCATACGACAAGTTAAGCACATGTTTATATGACTTTTGAAATGTAGCAATGCCCAACCAAGCATATGACATATGTGCTACAATCCTGCCACCTCCGCCCACTTCATTCACAATACATACATTTACAAGTATATTACGTATATCGGACTCTTTCGCAAAGCATTTGCAAAGGAACAGCATATTTGTTTCAAATATATCTATTATATTTTTTAAATTTAATTTGTTTTTTACTTCGTTTAAGTTAATAATGCAATTTAATTCTGTTTGTGAAATTTTTTTCATTAAGCATGTGACAGCAAATTAAGAATCCGATTAAATTGAAATGAAGGAATTAAACAAATCGAAATGCAAACATTAACTATGCAAATAACATTATATAATTGCACCGAAATCATTTGGTTTGCAGCAAATTCTGGTTAGTGAGTTTGTGAAAAATGAAGTAGTCTATAATAATAACCTATAATAAGATATAATGGCAGATTTGGGGAGGATTCAAGGTCTTCTGTCGAACTCCTTTTCCTGTGAAAGTATCACACCTTCCAATTTTAAAAGAGGAGAAATGTGACCATCGTAAATAAAACGATTAACCAAATTTGAACCCAGTTAGAAAAGAATCATAGACTGACCCGTGAGATAATGGATATTCTGAACCACAATAGTGACAATAGAAGTCGGAATATCTAACAATCCGTTTCTTATCTCCATTCTCTCTTATTTTTCTCAAATACATGAAATGGAGAAGGCAAGTGATAAATTTGGCTGAGGAGAGACATATGAAGTATCATACCTTGTGTATCAGTTCCACTGTCGGATGTGTAGCCTAACTTAATAGTAAATAAGTGCATTATTTTTCTTCATATCAGGTGAGAGAGAGAGAGAGAGAGAGAGAGAGAGAGAGAGAGAGAGAGAGAGAGAGAGAGAGAGAGAGAGAGAGAGAGAGAGAGAGAGAGAGAGAGAGAGAGAGAGAGAGGGGGGGAGATTCACGCAACATATGATTTATCCAAAACAATGTGTGTGTATGTGTGTGTGTGTTATCTTAGTGTATTAAACTCAATCTTTCAACAAAAAAATGACATTTTCTGCATTTTTTGTCATGTAAAGACAGAGGAATGGGTTTGGAATATCCGACAGGTTATTGACATTCATCTTAATTACGACCAAATATATGGTCGGGATAAACTTACATCATCGAGTCCGGAAACAGATCGTCAAAGAGTGCAGCTCTAGATATAAATCACGTTATCGTTCATATCTGAAGTGTGCATATTAATCAGGATTTCCTTAATCACGGCGTTGGACACGAGACAAAAACAAGTGCAAATTCTATTCTATTCAACGGATAAAGACATGTTAGAACTTTGCTCATTACACCGGTTTCTTCGTAACATGTAGCATTCAAATCTTTCTGTGCTTATAAAACATGTACATCTAGAAAAACATTATATGATTGATGCAAAAGAAACAATTTCCCGTAAGAGATACTGAGAGTACATGTGTTGACATCTTCTGTGGCAAAAATACGTTTAAGACATAATCCAAAAAAAAATAAAAATAAAAAAGCAATATTACTCCTCGTTCAATAATATAACATAAGTTTATTATATACATTACGATCCATCCACTATTTGTATGTGTTACGGAAGTTTATGTGTGTCAACAATTTTCAACATTTAGATGTAGTGTGTGTGTGTGAGAGAGAGAGAGAGAGAGAGAGAGAGAGAGAGAGAGAGAGAGAGAGAGAGAGAGAGAGAGAGAGAGAGAGAGAGAGAGAGAGAGATCTTACCTGTCTGTTCCGTTAGGTGAACGTGACAAATGTGTGCAATGCACCAGGAATATCGCATTTATATAGGTGCTGGATAATCAATGTGGTGCCAAAATGAACAAGCCAATGGGAGAAAGCGCACAATGCATATAGTGCTTCCAATCATGTCAAATGTACAAACAATTTTCCGAAAAGGGATTAACCGACCTGATCATTGAAAATTGTAATGTATGATGTTCAAAGTCCAAATACATAATTAAAATGACAATGCGTTATGGTTGCATACATAACAAAGCCAGTAAAGACAGTCAAATGAAAAAAAAGTTAAGAATCCCCAATACTATGACTGACTCGTCTCAAGATGGAAGTACATGTAGTCGGAATCCCAATGGACAGATGATGAGAGTCTAACTCCTATCCAGTTTAATCTCCTATATTTAGCTGGCACATGATAACTAGTCGATAGTTGTCGTTTCTCGCAGCATAGGTTGAATCCTTTCTTTCAACGAATTATCAGTCTCTAACCAGCTAGGCTACGTTGGCGTAATTATATATAAATTATGATGGCGTAAGTATATATAAATGTCTTTTTTATAATCATGTATCCTAACACATATTGTGGGTTTCAGGGGCCCTCTCTGACTGGTATAGAGGTATCAGTTTATTACTATAATTTGGTATTAATCTAGTTAGTTCGTGATTGTAGCTGAGTGCCGGATTTTTTTTGCCTAGTGAGTTATTTCCCATGCACATCAATTCCTTACCTTCCACCCTTTTTTCATTGCTCTTGGGAATGAGAACACGGCCTTGCGTTTGGGCTCTTGTGCATCTAAACTCGGCGGTAGTTGCCGTTACTTGCAGGATGGGCTAAAGTCGATTATAGTTAGGACCTGTGTTAGTTTACTTGTACCATTTTTAATTATGAAGACAAACACAAATAGGTAACTTTTGACTCTTTGGCAGGAAAGAGGGTTTGTACTAGAAACAGTGCGTGGTTCTTTACCACATTTCTGTGTCCGCACTATTTTTCCAACTGGGGAAAAATTATATTGTCTGGAAAGCCTACAATATATTGCCTCATAAAGTTGCGTAGAAAGTATAATAGTATTAAATAACATTCTGCTTGGCTGAACTCATTGTTAGACTAATTGCCCGTTTTGGAATGATGATTCGTTGATTAGCAATTGTAAAGGACAGGTCCTTATCTTATAAAATGCACGAATAGACCCGTAATATTAATAATTTCGGGCTTATTAATTAAGTAGGTGTCTGGTTCTAATTAAATCTAGTAATGGGGCTGGAGGTAGGGAAAGGGACGAATTGCAAACTTTGTAAAGCTACTTTGCCATGGATTCACTGACAAAAAATTAATCAAAATCACGCTTTATTGTCGTAATAGCGACGATACAGGTATCTATGTAACACTATGATCTTAACGAGGGTACATGTATCTGGCATTCTGACGTATCAATGAATATGAACCGATATTTATTAGGATACATGATTTGGTTGACTGGAAGGAGGGGATCTTGGACTGCGCGTCGCTGTTTGGGAGTTGTTGTTGTTGGGTTTAACGCCATTTTTCAGCACACGATAGGCTATACATGGCGGCCAGTATTAATGGTGGAGGAAGAAACAGGGAAATCACCAAAACGAACTTCCGACCCACGAGAAGCTACTGGCAAGCTTTCTCACATATCCACATTCGCCGAATCCTAGACTCGAACCCACGCAGGTAAAGGTGAGATGGCAGTGATCCGTAACGGACAGCGCTTTAGACCATTTGGCCACTCGTGACCCCCCCATTTGGGAGTCACAATTCAGTGATTCTACCAGCCTACTAAAAGGCTTATCTAATACAGTGTGTAGAATTATTATCATGATTAGGTTAATACATATCGGATCAATTCTATCCCGATCTACAAGGATTTAGTCCTTTCAGCATAAAATGTAGAAAAAAAAGAGATTTAGTTTTAAATTAATATTTTAAATTCATCAGCTTTTCCCATTATCAATTATGAAAATGTAGAGAATGTGTATATCAGAAAAACTGATTTTGAATTTTCTATTTTAACTTCAACAAGATGGGAGATTTTTAAGGTTTGTATTTACAATGAATCTGTTAAAAGCCTTATACATTCTATTTTAATGTTCAGATCTCCATGAAATCTCAGATTGAATGTTAATTGAGTTTGCTTACATTTTAACCGATAATGTCAAAATGTTGTTTTCATTTCTGTAGTATTTGTTTCCCTTCACTGTAACGTCTCTTAAGGTCGTCATCCTAACAGGAGGGAATTACAAGCCAGCATCCAGCAACCTAAACTAGAGATTCCCTATCGTTATTATTAGACATTCACATATCCAAAAAGTTAGATAAGTCATTCTGATGTTATTTTGAAAGATTTAACTCTTTTCACAGGAAAAACACACAATTTAATTTCTGAGTAGATATCATAAGCTTTTACTTGAATTAACGAGATTTATCTTGATTTGCATACACATTCACTAAACCTATCCTAATATATAAAGTCTTTTATTAAATATTGATGCCTTTTCTGGGAGTTTATGATAAAATCTTCAGAAGTTCAGATTCTTTGGGTGGAAGAATGAAATCACGGTGGGAAAATTTACAAAAGGAATTTGAATTTGTATGTGAATGAGTACAATATCAAAATAAGATGTAATTCATTATTACATTGACAAGGAATTAGTGAAAATTATTACAAAATATATTCATTCAGTACTGATACAGTAAAACATGGCTTGAAGGCCAACCTACTCATGTAACACTTCGGGCCTGAAGGTCATATAACTCTCAAATTATTTAACAGGTGGCAATGTTTTCTATTAAAACGTCTGAGAGATCCATTGTGTTAGTGTTTTGGATTTTTAACATAGCTTTTAATTTTTTAGGCATATCGCTAAGATGTCTGCAGTGTGGCAGTTTATAGTGATTTTTAGCACTGGAGCATCATGCCGCAGACATTTAGCATGATGTTCCATCCAGTCACATTATCCTGACGCCAGTCAACGAGTCCTAACACACTTCTTAATCCTGAGCTCCAAGTGAGGTAGCTCTTAGTACAGTTTTTAAAAGTTTTTGGTATGACTCTGCCTGGGTTCGAACCCGTGACCTCCCGCATCCATGGCGGACACTCTAACCACCAGGCCAAGCAAAATGGTCAGAAAATTGTCTTTGATGGAAATCTAGAGTTTAATCTTAGAAAATAATATTGTCTAATTTGTAAAGAAAAATATCAACCATTATGTTATTTCATAAATAACAATTTAAACTGTACTCTTTTGATATTACAAGGCTGGTCAGCAATAGTTATCTGAAAGATTGAACTGGTAAGCAAACAATGAATTCTTATAGAATGCACCACACTATGGTGACCACGATTCTAAGCTTTCTTGCCATCATGTTAATGTGCAGGTGAGGTCATCGCATACGGGGCAGGGGTTGAGTGCAGTATCAAGCTACTAAAGAACTTAATTGCCTGTGGTCAGAGATTATTAAATCAATCACCCTTCATCATAACTAGTACAGAGATTTTAACATTGTACCATCATATTCACATGTTTGAAATTTTTGATATTACTTGTATGCAAATGAAATTACTTTAAATGAGTACCTACACGTACACACTGAAGCTTTAGTTTGTCACATTTGAACAAAGTCATCAATATAAACTAGAGTTAATAAATGAAGGATGCATCGCAGAGGACCTCTTTCTCTACAAGTTGCTCTTAAGTCCTTAAACAAAAGAACCTGTTATTGGAAAACAAAATGCTTGGAGAAGATGTGCAGTCTGAGATCACAATTCCTCAAAATTATAACATGGAGTGTCAAAATTTCAATATCTCAGCAATACAAAAATTCAATGTCCCAGCAATACAAAAATTCAATGTCCCAGCAATACAAAAATTCAATGTCCCAGCAATACAAAAATTCAATGTCCCAGCAATACAAAAATTCAATATCCCAGCAATACAAAAATTCAATGTCCCAGCAATGTCCCAGCATGACAACAACTCTGACTGAAATGCATTATTCTTTTTTTCCCCCAATTTTAAATAGTATTTGCAATATTAAAGACCTTTTTTTGAGGGAATAAATTTACTAATTTTCCTGACATTTTTCCATTTTCCAAGTAGCATAGGTACTCTGCAACTAGAACCTGAGATAAATGTGTATGTATAATGTCAATGACAATCCTAGAAGTCGTTTAGGAGGAGTAGAAATAAGAAACGTGTTAGACGATGAATGATAGATGGAAAACAGATGGATGGATGAAGAATCATTACATAAGCTCAGTCAACACACAAGCATTAGCTCTAAGATGACTGCCTTATCTGCTGATCTAGGCAACAATCAGTCTTAGTACTATGTGGATCACATCATTATTGCCTATTGTTGGCAACACATGCTAGTACTACGTGGACCACACAATCTCCTAATGAAGGCGACACATGTCTCAGTACAATGTGAATCAAACCATCTTCTACTGCAGAAAGCACGAGTCTTGTTGCTATGTGGATAAAACCATTACATAATAAAGGCAACACACACGTCTCAATACAACGTGAATCAAACCATCTCCTACTGCAGGAAGCACGAGTTTTGTTGCTATGTGGATCAAACCATTACATAATAAAGGCAATGCACAAATCTTAGTACTATGTGGACCACAGCATCTTCTAATTAAGGCAATACACAAGTCATGCAGACCACACCATCACTTAATGAAGGCAATACACAACACTTAGTGCTATGTGGATGGCAACACACAAGTCTTGGTGCTATGTGGACCACACCTTGTCCTAGTGAAGGCAACACACAATTCTTAGTGCAATATGGACCACACAATCTACTAATCAAAACAAGACACAAATCTTTGCACTATGTAGACTATGCTGTCTCCTACTTCAGCTGACACACAAATCTTAGTGCTCTATGAACCACAAAATCTCCTACTTCAGGCAACACACAAGGCTTGGATATGTGGATCACACCATCTCCTAATGAGGCAACACACAAGTCTTGGTGTTATATGGACCACACCATCTTCTAATGAGGCAACATACAAGTCTTGGTATTATATGGACTACACAATCTCCTAATGAGGCAACACACAAGTCTTGGTGTTATATGGACCACACAATCTCCTACTTCAGGCACCACACAAGGCTTGGATATGTGGATCACACCATCTCCTAATGAGGCAACATACAAGTCTTGGTGTTATATGAACCACACAATCTCCTACTTCAGGCAACACACAAGGCTTGGATATGTGGATCACACAATCTTCTAATGAGGCAACATACAAGGCTTGGTGTTATATGGACCACACAATCTCCTAATGAGGCAACACACAAGTCTTGGTGTTATATGGACCACACAATCTCCTAATGAGGCAACACACAAGTCTTGGTGTTATATGGACCACACAATCTCCTAATAAGGAAACACACAAGTCTTGTGTTATGTGGACTTCACAATCTTCTAATGAGGCAACACACAAATCTTGGTGCTGTGTGGACCACACAGGTCTTAGGACTATCGTGAACACATCATCTGCTAGTGCAGGCAACACATCATACAGCCTGAAGTAACAGTTACATCTTGCCATCTGCTACACACAAGAAATACAATAAAACATAGCAAAACTATTAACTTGTCAATGAATTTCTGTAATAGCAAAAGAGTATAAAATATATACAAGGAAAATGAAACTCAATACTTAATGAAAATTTGGCAGTGTTGCGTTTATTCATTGACAATATAATAATACAGCTATCTAATATAATCACAGCATCAGCATGTCAGTGACTATATATATATATATATATATATATATATATATATATATATATATATATACTTGCTTATAATATCCAACTGCAAACTTAATTGACCTAGATCTTCCACTGCACACTGGCACATCTGGGTCTACCCAGCTTATTTAAAGAACAATCAGCAGAACAATCAGCACAGACCCTGTCATGCTGATGCATTATACAATGGCAGATCATGTTCCATGCTGTTTGCGGTTGGAACAGACATAAGTGAGTACAGACAATAACAATATCTTGTTCTTTGGTAAGGTAAGGAGAGGAAACTGATAAAATCTCTGTTTTTGAACAAATGGGTGAATAATCAAATTTTTGAAGACTGACTTAGTGACAATTAAACAAGGATAGAAGCCTTTATTTGCCATTAATTTTGGACTTTATGAAGAAATAGTTGTAACATCATGTAGCATGAACCAACAATAGAGAAGACATGCACATGCAGAATGTGCTGGAATTTCAGGTTTCAACAATTTTTAATTGAAATCATTAGTAAACCAATCAGTGGCAACCTGCTCTTCCTGCACAATATGTATTACAAGATTTGGGTCCAATTTGTCTGCAGCTGAACATGTGTTCCATACAAGCCCGGTAATGCGCATAATACTTCACTGTAGCAAATATACCACATAGAACACTTCACAGCAGCCAATACAACACATAGAACACTTCACTGTACCCAATACAGCACATAGAACACTTCACTGTATCAAATATAGCACATAGCACACTTCACTGTAGCAAATACAGCACATAGAAAACTTCACTGTATCAAATATAGCACATAGAACACTTCACTGTCCGTTACGGATCACTGCCATCTCACCTCTGTCTGCGTGTGTTCGAGTCTAGAGTCTAGGATTCGGCTAATGTAGATATGTGAGAAAGCTTGCCAGTAGCTTCTCGTGGGTCGGTGGTTCTTTCCGGTGATTTCCTGGTTTCTTCCTCCACCATTAATACTGGCTGCCATGAATAGCCTATCGTGTGCTGAAAAATGGCGTTAAGCCCAACAACAACAACAACTGTATCAAATATAGCACATATAACACTTCACTATATCAAATATAGCACATAGAACACTTCACTGTATCAAACATAGCACATAGAACACTTCACTCTATCAAATATAGCACATAAAGCACTTCACTGTATCAAATATAGCACATAAAACACTTCACTGTATCAAATACAGCACATAGAACAACACTGTATCAAATATAGCATATAGAACACTTCACTGTAGCAAATTTCAGTGCATAGAACAGTTCACTGTATCAAATATAGCACATAGAACACTTCACTGTATCAAATACAGAACATAGAACACTTCACTGTATCAAATATAGCACATAGAACACTTCACTGTATCAAATAAAGCTTGGCAAAGACAAAGTTTTTAAAAAGACGTAGCACACATTTTTGATGGTGGTAACAGTTTTTCAGTGAAATAATTATGGAATTCAATCAAAGAATTTCATCTTAAATCATTTTCCATACAACAGAATCTTACAAGTTTCATTAAATACACAAGTTATAAGACTAGTTAGATAATATTGTTGTAGTGAGTGAGATATTGCATTATTCCACAAGTTTCACAGACTGGATATCTAATGTATCCAAGTTTTACATTTAATTATCCTATCACATGAATTACAGACTTCACATTACTTGGTTATGTTTCTCTGTGATGTGACGGGTTGTATATGAGTGTCATACATTTTTATGACTTGATCTTATGACACACTTAAATGTTGTCTTGCAAAAGAAACTAAGATATACCTGTATTAATTTAGTACCTGTATCACTATATCGCCATGCTGATTTATGTTGTGACACCACTTCCTAGCAGCCACATACACATAAAAATGCTTAACATACATATTATAATCCTTAATAATTACTAGCTAGAAATTCACCTTTTTCTGTGGTTTGAGAAAAGCGGTATTGTTCTCTTTTTTATTACAAAAGCACCACAGTACTGTTGTTCTTAAACCATGAGAACAGCAGGTTCCTTCCTTGAATAAATAAATCTTCTTTATGAAATATAAATATCAAACTCGGCACAAAATTTAATTTAATAGGTCAATATGCAAATTAATACAAGCATCCAAGTCAATGCTCAATTATTTAAATAATTGCTCCATGAAGAGTACTATTATTAGAGTCAATGCTCAATTGTTGAAATGACTGCTCCATGAAGAGTACCATGATCATAGTCAATGCCCAATTGTTGAAATGAACTGCTCCATGAAGAGTACCATGATCAGAGTCAATGTTCAATTGTTTTACTGACTGCTCCATGAAGAGTACTATGATCAGTCAATAGTC